CATTTGGCCCATTTCTTCCTCCCTGGCAAGGCATTGAATGCAACGCTGGTACATAATTTAAAAGCACTCTCTCCTCCTCACTGTAAGAGCAAAGCTCTAAATAGACATCCTGAAGTTCTGGTCTACCAGCTTATCAGCTCTGTAGCCATCAGCTCTTTCTCCATCAGTTGCCCATCCTTGTATTTTCTGTATATGTTTGGTTGGCTTTTGTTATAAAATATAAAAATGTCTCAACAGCAAATGATATTCTCTTTCCCTTCCCCCAACCTGATCTCGATCTTGATCTTTCACATTCTCTCTCTCTCTCTCTCTCTCTCTCTCTCTCACACACACACACACACACACACACACACACACGCACACACACACACAGAACCATTAGCTAATTTAGTGGGAAAGAGACATTGATTCTTCCTTCGTATCTGAATCTAGGTCTTGAAACTAGCGAGAGAATGTACTGTCTTGAAGAACACAGAAAATACAGGAGTCAGAGCCACTGTTAGCTTTGCTCCTTATCAGCCTGTGACTTAATTTTTCTGTTCAGTCATCTTTGGAATGAGAATAGTAATGACTACCACCTACAAGCCTTTCAGAATAGGCTTAGAAGGCAAGCAACAAAACCCACTGTTTAAGAGCACACGCGTGGTCTCCAGCTGAATTATAGTTCAAATCCTGGCCCTGCCACTTTCCCAGATGTATGATCTGAGTATGAATGTGAAGTACATGCCAGAGTGTCTGATGCATAATAAATGTTAAATAATCAGCCCCTGTCACTTCTCCTTTAAAAACTGTAAAGCATCTCACCGGTATTCATTTCTATTAGCCAAATGTGCAGGCAAAGTAGGCCAGTCAATAAGAGAACACTCATCAGATGCTTCCTCAGCACCCAGTATCACATCCTTTCCTTATCAACTAAGCCGGCTGCCCTCCCCAGATAGGATGCTCTCTTCTGCTACACACTTAGGCAAGCAGAAGGCCAGCCATGCAATTCCCTTCAGTTTTAAAGACTCAGCTGGCTACATCAGTTAATAACCTCGCTAAAGGTTATCTATCTGCAAGAAGTGGGAAAAAGTCCTAATTGCTCTCGTTGGAGATGTCATTCGTTTGTACCTGGCTCCTATGAAGTCTGCGTGGCATTTATAGAAAGGGCAGATACCACGGGAAAATATCACCAAAGAGGACAAGTGTTTAACCTAAATATTAAATAGCTCCCTGCTGTCTACTAAACCATTTCTAAGGTAATCTATCTATTGAAAAACCTTCTTTCTGATTCTACAGTCCTGATAGCTATAAAATTTTTATTTAGATTTCATGGCCATTTCAGTAAATCAAAATTGCCTTTCCTCCCCCTGCTGTTAGGTAGTAAAACCCTGCAGAATAGATCTTAGACTAAGCGATCTAACCCAATTCCTATTTAATTTGTGAGAAGCAAGCATCATTGATTTTTTTCTTAACCCTCTGATTGAAAATCTAGGGCCTTCTTTGTAAATGAAAACACTACCATCAGAATCTTGAGTTTCATTATTACTTTCAGTTAGTTTCATCTTAGGGAAGCCTCTAAAAGAGGAAACCATATTATTTTCTCTTCAGGAGCTTTATACAACTGCTACGTACTCTTAAGAATGTGACATGGTTCAATTTCTCACGTTTACAAACACAAGCAGATAGCAATCTGTGAGTAAAATGCATGGCATAGCTTTTTAAAATAGAGCACCTGGGGTTTGTCATACAAATGTGCTATGCTGTTTGGACAGAAATAAATAAAAACTGCATGGTGTGGCTTTATCTCTCCTGAATAGCATACCAACATTTGAAAATGCCTACCATACCTCCTATTAAAACATTTTCTAGTGCCTATGAAATACTTATATAAAATGGCTGGAAGATTTTTATAGGAAACGCCCCATTTAGATAATTTATCATGAGAATGAGTGATGTGAAGCATCAAGAATAAATATTCCTTTCATATGTAATGGGAATCCAGCCTTTCTTTGAGGACTCAAACAATTCTCTTTGTTAAATATAATTTAGGGAGAACAAGTGGAAAGAACCTTTCAATATGGTAATCGTATTAGCAAAACAAGGGTTTGAGAGTTTTTACTGGGCCATTCTAAATATTGTAGAATCACAAGATAAAAGGGTACATGCTTTGAAGACGACTGAAGTTATCATAGAAATTCTTCCAGGATAAAGAAAGGGTATGAACATTATTATTTCTAAGCCAGAAAGGCTATAATTTGGATAGGTCTTCATACCCAAATAATCTAAATGTCAGAAATAAATGATCATGGAGCCCTCCCTTGTGGGCCAAGGCAGTCAGACCGCTATCTCTAAAGTTCCATTTGATACAAATAATAATATCACTCTAAAGTATAGTTACTTCATCATTTATTTTTTAGCTGCTTGGTAAAAATGTTTATCTAAAATAAAAGTATACTGTAAGAAAATTAGCTTAGGGGCACCTGGGTGGCTCAGTCGGTTAAGTGTCCGACTTTGGCTCAGGTCATGATCTCACAGTTTGTGTGTTCGAGCCCCACATTGGGCTCTGTGCCAACAGCTAGCTCAGAGCCTAGAGCCTACTTCAGATTCTGTGTCTCCCCCTCTCTCTCTGTCCCTCCCCTGCTGGCATTCTGTCTCTCTGAGAAAGAAAATTTTTTAAAAAATGAAAACAAAATTAGCTTAAAGCTAGGTTTGTTGTGAGATGAAATATTTTTTTCCCAATTCCAATGTTTAAATGGTTAAAAATCACAGCACAGAACAAAAGCCCTTATCTTTTTAAGTGTTTTGGAAATCTAATTATAAAGAATGGCAGGCCTGATTACGGTTTTCTTCTTCCTGACACTTTTTATTTCTTCCCAGACATTAACGACAAGTACCAATGGCCTATCATGGTGTCATCAGAAAGTCCATTAAGATTTTCCAGGAGAGTTAACATGTGTCAACTCCTGTTCCCAGCAAGGCTAGCAGAAGGTACTGCTGGGCTGGAGGTAGGAAGCAAGCATAAGTTTTCAAAACAGGTGCTACTGTTGACATAACCATTAGACATTCTGCTTCTCCAAGGCTCTAAGAAGAATACATACTTTTCTTTTTAATTTTTAATACAAATTCATGTATTCCATAAAAAGGTATATTCCCGGGAGAATGTCCAGAATAATGTGCAATCTGTGAAGTATGTCTCTCAGCATGATACCACAGTTCACCCTCCAGTATATGGAGAGAAAGAATAGGACAACTCAACAGACTGGACTTGGAAGCCACAAAAGTGATTAATCAACATGGCAGCTGGCCCAGCCCCTCTATGGCAGCATAGAGGAAGTAGAGAAGTAAAATAAGCCTAGAAGTGGTTACTCTTCGGTTCTATGAATGCAGAGCTGCTGAACATGTGTCAGAGGACAAGGCAAAACTGTACATTACAGAATCAAAGAGAGTTAAAGATGAGTAAGATCACAAGCTAGCTCAGAGAATTTCAATATTTGCATGTTTAAGAATATTCCTAGATTGGGGTGCCTGGGTGGCCCCAGCGGGTTGGGCATCTGACTCTTGATTTTGGTTCAGGTCATGGTCTTGCGGTTCCTAAGTTCGAGCCCCGCATCAATCTGTGCAAGGATAGTGCAGACCTGCTTGGAATTCTTTCTCTCCCTCTCTGCCCCTCCTCTGCTTGCACATACATGTCTCTGTCACTCTCACTCACTCAAAATAAATAAACTTAAAAAAAGTATTCCTAGATGCACCCACTGAGATTATGACTCAGCAGCAGCAGGTAGGAAGCAGTGAGAATATGTAACACTTCTAAAGCACTTGCTTTATGCCAGATACTGTGCTAAGTTCTTTACAAATATCACTTATTTAATTCTTGCAACAATCCTACTGGGTAGATGCTATTATTTCCCCCATTTTATAGATGAGGAGATGAAGGCACAGAGTGGTTAAGGAATCTGCCTGAGGACGTCCAAATAGAAAGTAAGTATTCAAACTCAGACAGGCTAGCTTCAGAGTCTCAGCTCTTCACGACAATACTGAAGCACCCATCAATGGCACGCTATGGTGAGGGCCAAGGCACTAACCAAGTGTCATCACTGAAATCATCTTTTCTTTCCTGAATGGAGAAACTGAAACCCAGAGGAGTGAAATCTCTTATCTAAGACAAAAATCCTGCAGTGCATTTCCAGGAAGAAAGCAATCATCATATGACACCCAACTATTCGTAAGTATCTCTCTAGGCTTATTCCTCCAGGGAGGAAATGAACAGATGGCATTATGAAAAGCCAGCCCTGTGGTTCCAGAGGTGTTTTTCTGACCAAGGTGCTGTTCTGGACAGAGACTTCATCGTCTTCTGCCCAACTCACTGTTCATTCACAGGAAATGACACATTCCAGAGTCAGCATAAAGGGCTCCCAATCATGATGACCCTCAAAGGAGGGAAGAGAGAAAAGGGAAAAGGAACAACGGACAAGGGGGAGGAGAAGGACAGATGCCATCTCCAAAAGTGGTAACTGAAATGGGGGAGATACAGTTCATGTAATTTGAGGATGGAAAAGAAAGATGTGACTGTGATACGGTCCCTGAGGATGGTCTTCCTGGCCCTAAACTGTCCATTCCAAAGCCTTAGTATGTGGGAAAACATCCTCAGGTCACTGCCATGTTTTAACATAAACAGGTAACAGAATACCCGAAATGATCAGGTCTCCCCTAAGCTGGACCTACTCACATACATTCTCTCAAAAAGTGATAAACACATCACCTAACAACCGTAGATATGCAAGATCAGGCCAAAAATCATACAGAGTTACTGAAATGATACCTTTTTACTCAGTTGTCATTTCTGTTCAACAATCCAGGTAATTCTGGGGGACCATAAGCACAAGTAAGCATACATTCCAAATGAAGGGGGTGCTAGCATGACCACGATGCAGAGGCATTTTCAAGAAAACAAGGGGGGGGGGGGATGGCCAGCGCGTTCCTGTTCTAATGATGCAAACTGGCAGCCACATCAAACCAACCTTCATCACTTCCACCTGCAGGTCTTCATGGAGGGAAGGCGTCACTTTCACAGCATTCAGGATCTGATTGAGCAGCTGCTTCTCATCAGAATCTGTTTCCATGGATACAAACCTCTCTTCCGACAGAAGCTTCTGTAAAGAGGCACAAGGCAGTGATCACCGATAGGCTTTCCCTTGCTGCCCTATTCTGTTGTATCTTTGGACGTACTGAGGGTAATTGTGCTCGGGAACCACGTAGGTGGAGGCCATTAGGATAGTACTCATGCCATGTGCCAATAAAAAAGAAAAACACATCAAACCTTTGGTAAGCAGTTTGGGCAAAGACCTTTTGCTGCTATTCGGTAAGCCATTCTAAATAACACGGCAACCATACAGGTTATGTGGGTAGTGGGGACAGAGGATGAATGTGCCCAGGGGAATCTAGCACCTTACAAAAGTTACATTCACACATACCCTTTCTGAATGTAGCTTTGTCACAGGAAGGGAGAAGTTCCTGTAGACAAGAAGTTCATTTTTCAAACATTTACCCTTTTTTACTTCCTGATGTGAACTGTCATTTACCTAAGAAGTGTTTGTGAATTCACAAATCTTCATTTTCATCAGAAAATGAATCCCACAAAAACCAAATGAGAAGGCATTCACTTTCATGAGGTCTCTCAGGAGACATTACACCTCACAGCTCTTTTGTGTTTGGGGACAACTCTTATTTTTCATAAAATCCTGTCTTAGATTGTACCGAAACCCACTTCCCTACAAATTCTACTCCTTCATCTTTCCCTGGAGCCACAAGGACTAAGCTAAAATATCTGATGTCAGCTATGAAGTCTACTTAAGTCTTCTCTTCTCTATACTAGACCTCCTTAAACATCTTTAAATGTTCTTGATGTATATGGTTTCATAAATACTCTCCTGCTTGACACGTGGCCTCCAGAGGGAATGTCACACATTAAGGGTGGTCTGACGTTAAAGAATAATGCAACCAAGAGTGCCCCCTAAGGTAAACTACAAACTTTGGGTAATTATGATGTGTCACTATAAGTGGATCCTTGGCAAAAACGTACCATTTGGGGCACCTGGTGGCTTGGTCAGTTAAGCGTCTGATGCTTGATATCAGCTCAAGTCATGATCGCATGGTCATGGGATGGAGCCCCACACTAGGCTCCACACTGAGTGGGGAGCCTCCTTGGAATTCTCTCTCTTCCTCTCTCTCTCTGCCCTTCCCCCACTTGTACTTTCTCTATATCAAAATAAATAAACTTAAAAAATAATTGTACCATTCTGGTGAGTGACGCTGATAATGGAGGAGGCTATGAATGGATAGGGTAGGGGTATATGGGAAATCTCTATACTTCTTTTCAATTTTATTGTAAATCTAACATTGCTCTTTAAAAAAAAAAAAGTCTTAAAAAATGAGATGGCGGAAGGGAAAGACAAAAAGAAATGGGGTCTTTGGTGACACCACTGAGCTGTTGCACTGAACCTAGAACTGACCACCACCAGAATTCTAGTCATGTGAGATAATTAAATGCATTTATTCCCTAAAACCAAAAACTGGAAGAGCAGCAATGTATAATTTTAATTATATTCCCAAATCAAATGAGCTTAGTTGTAAGTCACAGTACATTCTGTGCTGACTCGCCCTGAAATCCTGAATTCTCATTCCCCAGGGCAGCAATGAAGCTATTCTTCTCATTCTGTCCTGAGGCAGTCAGTGCTTGAGACCCTAGTGCAAGATTTTATATTTGTCCTGGTCCCATTCTGTATAGAGCTGCAGCGGTGAAGAACTTTTGGAATTCGGATTCACCTTGTGTAAGGACTCCCTCTTTTAGCAGAATGTCACTGCAGATCTGGAACCCAGTATTTCAAACTGTCTTAGGACTGCCTGACCTCTGTCCATATCCTTCCAAAAGAGATTTTTTTCACTATCACACAGTGCATGCCGGGTACCCCAGAGGTAAAGTTTCTATACAAACCTGTTTTTACGTAAAGTGATAAGGACTGGAAAGGCCTACAAAAGTGCCTACAGTTAAGAGTAGGTGACAGAGGGTGGTAAAAGGAAGACCTACTGCCCACCAGGTCATTAGAATTAACAGGATAAAGCAAGTCCTTAAAAACATGGCTTGTAAGCTTAGAGTGTCTGGGGGTTAACAAATAACTAAAAGGGAAATCTGTACAATATTAGAGAAAAGGAAACACAGCAGGTTAACACAAACTCCCACTCACTTTCACGGATGGCCCAATTACCTCGGAGAAAGCAAAGAGTATTTAACAACACTGACAGTGTTTAAAAATGTCTAACACTGGGGTGCCTGGGTGGCTCAGTCAACTGAGTGAGCAACCCTTGATTCTGGTTCAGGTCATGATCCCACGGTTGTGGGATAGAGTCCAGGTTGGGATCCTCACTGAGCATGGAGCCTTCTTGGGAGTCTCTCTCTCTCTCTCTCTCTCTCTCTCTCTCTCTCTCTCTGTTCCTGCCCTGTGTATGTGTGTGCTCTCTTTCTCTCAAAAAATAAATGTCTAATACTAAAATATATTAATATGTACATTATCTAATTTCAATCCACTGGAAAAAGAAGAGTCTTGGTTTTCTCATTCACATGTACTGAATCTTTTTTTTTAATGTTTACTTTTACTTATTTATTTGACAGAGGAAGAGAGCAAGCGAGAGCGGGATAGGGGAAGAGAGAGGAAGACAGAGAATCCCAAGCAGGCTCCAGTTCCTGAGCTGTCAGCCTAGAGCCCAATGCTAGGCTTGAACTCACGAACTGTGAGATCATGACCTGAACCTAAATCAAGAGTCAGACACTTAACCAACTGAAACACCCAGGTGTCCCCATCATAGGTATTAACTCTAAATGGCATTAGGGACTTCTCTGAATTTAAAGGATGAAATAATACATACTAATGTGAAAAGACATCTGAAATGCTACCAATCCATGGCCACACTGTATAAAACCCATAGGCTTGAACTACACAGTGCTTTGTCACTTAGAAACCAAACCACTTAAAAGTCAATGTATTTATACAGCCATCACCTTTGCACTGTTCAAATCAGACCTATTACAGATGGTGTAAAATACACATGAGCAAATTCTCAGAGAAGCAAAGTGTTCAAGTAATTTTTTTTTCATTTGAGAGAGAGAGAGAATATGCAAGCAGGAAAGGGAGGCACAGGAAAAGAGAGAGAGAATCCCAAGCAGGCTCCACACCCAGCAGGGAGCCCAACATGGGGTTTGATCCCATGACTCTGGCATCATGATCTGAGTTGAATCAAGAGTCAGGCACTCAACAGACTGAGCCACTCAGGCACCTCTGAGGCCTTTTCTGATCAGATCAAATGTCTTTTTTTCTCTCCAATTTTGCTCTGGAAACAAAACACATGAATTCATTCACCAACCTAACTGTAAAATGGAAAATAAGATAAAATCTTTGCAGTTTACTATTAATTCTTCTTACATGGACCCACAGATGTTGCATGTACCTAAGATTTTACTTGGTATAGAATGTGAGCTGCTCTCTTGGGACCAAGAGATCGTTTGCTCTCCGAAAGTTGAACATTCTCCAAAACACTTCATTTCTCCCTGAGCTTAGCTGGGTCCCCAGAAATCAGGATCAGAGGACAGAGGCTCAACACGATGATGCTATACACAGGGAAATGCTGTTCAACGTAAGAAAATCCTCTATCCTCTGTCCTCTGTGGTTATTACCTAGTTCAATCAAATTGTGATCTGGGTCTTTGACAGCTAGGATTCAAAATGTTAAGTATTTGTGTTTTCAGTGCCAAAGAAGCTTGTCAATTTCCGTCACCTGGCTGCACCCAGTAAGAGCCTTACCTGTATTCCTGCCAAGGCATGCTGGGCCAGTTTCATGTTCTTGGATTCCAAGGCCAGCTGGAGAGGCAGCAAGCATTTTTCCCTGGCAAACACATAAATAAGAACAACAGAACATGTGAGCTCAGCAAAGCTGGCAGTCAAATGATATAAGCCTTATGGACACCCACTCCCAAATGCTGTGACACACATACATAAAAACTATAACCAATAATAAAAATGCACATGGACTTTAAAAAGCCACAGCAAAAAAAAAAAAAAAAAAAGCCTATCAGCACTTGCCTTGGCTACAGGAAAAGCCAACACAAGAAAGCTCAAACAATTGTTTTGATGCACAAATTATTACCTGGTGGGACTCTCACCAGTCCATGAACATGCCTTGCTCTTTCCTAACTATAATTGTTTGTATCTGGTACACCTGGGGTGAACAACTCTGGAAAGCACCATTAAATAGATTTCTATGCCTTGCTCATACCTCTCTCTTTCCTATAAAGAGAATGTATCACCACCACTACTCTGCCTCATCAATATAAACTGAAATTCTATTTTGTCAGTTTCTCTCCCTTCAGAATGTTCAACAATCATTTCTAATTTTTAAATTTGCTTTTTAGCCTCCATCAGGCAGATCTGAATTTTGTGATGGGTTCCTAATAAACATGTCCAAGACAGAACGATAAAAAAAAAAAAAATAGCAGCAACTTTGACCAATGAGAAGTACCTGGTATCACGGCAGAGATGGAAAAGACCTACATGGAGAGAGATACTTGGGGTATTTTTTAAATATTTGTTTATTTATTTTGAGGCACAGAGATAGAGAGCAAGCAGGGGAGAAACAGAGATAGAGAATCTCAAATAGATCAGTGCAGAGCTCGATGCAGGGCTTGAACTCACAAACCATAAGATCATGACCTGAGCCAAAATCCAGAGTTGAACACTTAACCAACTGAGCTACCCAGGTGCCCCTGATCTTTTAAAGCTTAAAAAAATAACTGGGCACTAAAATATGTTAGAAATAAGCCAAAAGGGCTACCAAAAATAAAATCTTTCTGTTAGAACACTCACTCTAAATAATTAAACAATAGCCCAAGAATTTTAATCAACCTATTATTTCCCCATGGAGCTATACTGGCACAACAAATGGAATGTTACTTAATTTTACCAGTTTCCTCTGCCCCCACTTTAACCGCAGCAATCTCATCTTAACCTCTTTTGTATATTCAGCATAAACTGAAAGATTCATTGACTTCAGTGAGTATAAAAGCTATAGGGTAAGACTAGAAGATTCATCTTCGGAGAAATAGGGGTCACTGTTGTAGAACCCAAAGAAACAGAAAGTTAATTATAGCTATGATTCCTTCTTATCTGTCCTGTGGCTCTGCTACTTTTCTATGGAATCCTCCATCAGCAGCTCTATGACAGATGAAGCAAGAGTCACAGACTGTCCCTAATGCTGACCCCAAAGACAGAACAAAGGCAGACTCCATCAGAAAGGACATTCACCTTCCCAATCCTTTTCACCTCTCCCCTCACCAACCCAATGCTACAATAGCCTCTTTTCCATGACAATCGATTAACGCTACAACCATTTTTGATTAGACACATCCTGTGACAGATGGATAAATTACCCAACTGTGTTACTTCCAGCAGGGTGGCTGGAATTTTGTCACCATACCATTATGGCCAGCTTAACTGCCATTACAAGACACATACTGCTGTCCACTCAATTAAAGCAAGAGTGGTTGATTTTTCCAAATTTGTTTTTCCTTTTGTTTAATCCAAACTAATTTATAAGCCAGAAAAATTAACTGGAAGGGTGAAAGTTACAAAGTAGGCATAAGAGGCAGATAGAGTATGAACCAGAATAACCACAGAATTTCACCTATAAACCCTGGAAACAATCAACTTTCCATCAGGATTCACTGTGAAAGAACTTTGATCTCACATTCGGAGTGAGGTCTGCCAATGCAGGTGCTGGATCAATGAGCAAGCATGAAGGTCCATTACTCTGCGGCCTCACAGCTTGGGGAAGGGCAAGTCTCTGGTAGGTGGCCCTATGCTGAAAATCCACAAGTATCACACATTACTCACTAAGGGCACTAAACAAGAGTGGAGGGAGACCACATTCAGCAACAAGGGCACACCTGGAAATGCTGAATCTTCTGGTCTTGGGAAGCAGTGTTATGTTTGTGTATAAACAACTGCAGACTCTGTTTTATGTAAGTGGTGAATCATACGAAGTGACTCCTAAAGCCAAGAGCACATTGTATACACTGTACGTTAGCCAACTCGACAATAAATTCTATTTAAAACAAACAAACCTGCAGACTCAAATTGCTCTGCCACCTTCAGAAACAGTCAGTGAAATCCTCATTTTACTTTCTCATCTACTGATATATTCACACGATTTATCTGCAGACCTGAGCCAGGTTGTGAACAAATGTGAGGGCCAGCAGGTTGCACCATGATTCTAGAGGACATCGCTGAATGGTTTGCTCCCTGTGCTAGTGTTGGTCACCAGGCAGGACTGAAAGATATAAGTGGTTCAGCTAGGCTTTGGCTGAGTTGAAAGGTATCAGAATTTAGTGGAAAGAACATGGGCTATGGAATCACGCAGAGCCAGATTCAAACCCTAACTATAAGTTGTATAATCTTAATCAAGATACTTAACTTTGTTAGATATTAGCTTCCCTTTACATAAAAAGGGCATCTGAAGACCAATCCTGCAAGGATGCAGTAAGGAGTACAAATAATATATATCAGGGGCTGGCAAATTTCTTCTGTAGATAATGAATATTTTAGGTTTTCCTTTCCATATTGTCTCTGTCCTAAGTGCTCAGCTCTACCATAGCACAAAAGCAGTCATAAATAATACAAATCAATAAACATGGCTATGTCCCAATAAAACTTTATTTATAGAAATAGGCAATAGGCGAGATTTGGCCTACAGGCTATAGTTTGCCCAGTCCTGATACAGACACAGGCCCAGCGCAGATCATGATTTGCAACACAGGATAGTCAGATTTAATCTTCTCATCGTATGCAGAAAGATTTTGCACAGGACATGGAGCTAATTGTCCTGGAAGGGTTTTGACAAAACCAAGCTCTCTTCTAGAGAGAGATCTTAGACTATCAAGATGTCTCTTGGAAAATAAGTGTTTTGAGAAAGCAGATAGGTTTCATCTAGGTACTAAGCCAAAGTACTCCATCCATCCAACCATCTATTCAATGTTTGAGTGCCTTATGTGTGTAAGATGCCATCATGGGTGCTCAGTAAAATCTGGCCAGAAGCAAAACAGAGCAGATACTTGCTTTCATTTCATTCAAGGACTGAAAGAGAGGAAAAAATAAAATCAGCACTTATCTCTCTGTTTAGTGTACCTGTGACTTCAACCTTAAAATAGGTATTTTTACCCCATTTTACATTTAAGAAAATGGAGGTTCAGAGAGGTTCTATAGCCTGCTGAAGGCTACACAGCTGAAGTCTATTAGACACAATCCAAACGGAAATCCATCTGACTCTCAAGACAAGTTCCTTCTAACACACTTCAGTCTCAAAAGATCTGAGCAAAGTTAGATTTGTTTCTTGACCTTTTTTGGATTACAAAAATAAAATATCTGGCATGGGACCCTCTTCCTAGAGAAATGCAGAAATCATTTCAGAGAACTCATGAGTCCCCCAAGACCCAATTTCACATGGATCCCAAATTGAAGGCCCCTGACCTCAAGGGAAAGGACCCTGCCCAACATGGCGGTTATTTTGGTGTCAGAGAAGAGGGTTATGTTCCCTGGATGGGCTTAGAGTTTCACAAGGATAGACTCTTAAGTGATGTTATGCTGAGCCTGGGACAGAGTAGGTTCCTGTGTGGGGGTAAGGGAGTTAAGGGGAAATGACCCTCTTTAGGATCCAAGGTCTCTCCTCCCCTCAGACCCAGCAGAGTCCTAGATTAGCATCACAAGCCTCAGTTCCTGACTTCAACAGGAAATGAACGCAACGGAAATGAATGAAGCTCCTGGGGCACAAATGATTTCACTGCTTGCTCTGTGATATCATAAAAACCCTGATGCCTTGGCTTGTGTGTGTGTGTGTGTGTGTGTGTGAATAAAAGAGAATACAGGCCTGTTAATTAGGTCTCAGGATGAAATTTATAATGGAGATGCAAGGTGGCACACAGTCCCCTTTGCACATACTGTATTAGAATAAATCATCTTTTGATCTTTCTAGATGCTGCCTCATTAGGAAAAGGGCATACCAAAAATCAATATTCAGTTACATCAAGTGATTATTTTTTATGCACAGGCACGTTCAAGTTCACTCTTGCCTAATTAAATAAAGGCAGTGGCCCCAGGTTTCATGTCCTGACATGCAATTATTTCTTAAAGAAGAAGAATTAGTAGTGCTGCATATGCATGAGGAAGACCATCTCAGGACACTGCCTGGTTGTGTCAAGGAGACTAAACCAACTGCCTTTACTGTGTTGTCATGGTTCACAGACCAGCTATATTGGGGTGGAAGACAACAATGAACAATGGGAAATTAAAACAGGTGAATAAGGGGAAGTTAGGATTTACCAAAAGTTAGCTTTTAATATGAACTTCAAGTAAAACCAAATTCCTGAATGTTGGGCTGATTTCGTTTGGATGAACCATATGGGAAAGAGCACAGAGATCCTTTGGATTTCTAAAATCTGCTGACACTCTCCAATTCTAGGATTCTGTGATCTAAGCCATTAATTCAATAACTGTCTGAACTGTTTCATATAATTACCATGGCTCCAGTTGAAAATCAGAGGCTTGTATGTGCAAAACCCCATGATCACATATTCATGTTTATATTTCAATTACAATTTTTGAAAGTAGAGATTTAATTGTCAACAAGACAATGAGATAGATTACTTCTTCAAGATAACATGTTGGTAAATGAAACTGTTGCGATTTAAGCTTGTACCATGTGTCTTCAAAACCCATAGCCGAGGCCTCCACAAATGCCTTTACCAGCAGACGGCTCCCCAATGACTGTGGCGTATGACACATCACTTTTTAAATAGCATTCAAAGTTCCCTCAGGTTAAAAGACTGGGGACAGGCA